CACACACACACACACACACACACACACACACACACACACACACAATCCTCTGGCTCTGTAGAGATGTAAACATCACAACAAACAAAAGTAAACAGGATCAAATCTTCAAATGTAAACATGAAGAAACGAGACACTGAAACAGAAGCTAAAAGAAGCTAAAAGCTAAAATCAGCTGAGTTAATGCTGACTCAGCRTTTTCTCTAATAGTGTACAGTCAGTGCTCACCTCCTTGTTGATGATAATAACTCAGTGTTTCAACGTAAAACATCAGAACCGACAGGCGTCAGCGCTGACTGGGTCGGGACGCTCCGGGCACGTCCGGTTGTTWGCACGACTTGATTGTAAATTTGATGGAAGAAGTCAGGCGAAAGGTTTGAGGTTTAGTTATGTAACAGCCTGAGGTGGACTCCACCTGTGTGTGATTAAATAACTAATCAGAGCAGGAATGTGGTCCAGACCCGGTCTGAGTCTGAGGCCACCAGTCTTCACCGGTTYACTGGAGCCAACAACGTAGTTTAAACCTCTCTTTAAATTTCTCCTTTTTTTTACCAGCTTCTTTTTAATCGTCGACCCGTCGACGACCTTCAGTGTCTCAAATGTAATGACTCATCATCATCATCATCGTCGTCCTGGTGACCTTTCATTTCGCTCCCGTCCAATCAGCTGTGGCGATGCACGTCATGAGCAGCGTCTCTCCGGCCGACGACAACGCTGTCGCCGCTSCGACGTCGCCTCCTTCTCCTTCAGGGCTTCCCCACATCTGTGAAAATGGACTGAGACCGCCAAACCATTCCCCTCCCCCTCCCCCTCCGTTACCCCCCCTCCCCCTCCCCCTCCGTTACCCCTCCATCCTGGTCTGAGGGATGAAGCACCAGACCTGAGGAGGAAGAGGGTCAGGAGTTTCTTCTGGAAAACCATACCAGAGGACCAGGTAGAGAAGCAGCTTTGACTTACCTCAAAACACAGATGTTTTTAAATTAAAGGAATCTCTGGATTTAACCTGATTCAAGATGGCCACCATGGCCCTAAAAACATGTACAATAGGTTGCCTTCAGGCCCAGACCTCCCTTGAAAAAGAGATCTGAGATCTCAATGGGACTTGCCTGGTTAGACAACAATCAATCAATCAATCAATCAATAAATGGCAACACAAGATTAGTAGACACAAAAACAGCTACAACTCAGTCAAATTTGCAGCAACAGGAAGCAAAACATCTAAAAACCAGTGGCAAACCTCTAGCTAAAGACTGAAATTAGCTAAAAGCTAGCTTAAAATAGTGGAGCATTAGGTAAAAGTAACAAATTGCTAAAAAATGTAGGGAAGGCATAGGTAAAGGTATCTAAGGAAAGGTCAGTGTTTGCTACTATTAGTAGCTAAAAGCTAAAGCTAGCTAAATGCTACCTAAAAGCCAAAATAACAAAAATTCATACTAAAAGTAGCAATAGAGTGGATAAAAGCTAAAAGTATCAAAAAGTTAGCTAAAAGTGGCATAAATGGCGCTAATAGCTACACGTAGCAGAAGAGTAACTGAAAGCTAAAGTTGCATTAAAAGACAAAATCAAATCCCGTAGCTGAAGCAGATTTCAAACTGAACACTATTTTTAAGGAACTGAAGAGATTTCAGTGTATTTCTATGAGAGGGAAATGTTTATAAATAAAGATAATTAAATTTAAAAGTAATAAAGCCACAAAACCAGAAGTATTTGGATTCATTTCCTAAGTTGCTAGAATAGTACAAAGTCTAGAAGTTGTTMAAAGATTGAATGCTGACTCAGCAACGTTTCTGTTCCAGGTGAAAGGTCATTTGAACCTTTGGACTCAGGGTCCAGGAGTTCAGCAGCACCAGTTTGATGCCCAGGAGATCGAGGAGCTTTTCGGTCAGAAGGACTGTCAATCAAAATACACGGCCCCGCCTACCAGAGGAGAGAAGAGCCGAGCCTCTTCTCGGTCTCAGGTCTCCATCCTGGACTCGAAGCGAGCACTGCATGTTGAGATTTTCCTCAAACAGTTCAAGAGGTAAACTGCTCCTAGATGTTTGGAGCACTTTAAAATGTGATCACATGTTTGTCCTGATAAGTCCGATATTTATCAGTTTTCTCTTTTTTTTTAATAAACATCCATGAGTTTTAAACATCCAAAGTTCCACACTACAGTCAGAGAGCTAAGGACCATGGCTTGATCACTAAGTGCTCACTGACAAGCCCCGCCTCCAGGACTGACTGGAAGAGATGATGGATGGATGGATGGATGGATGGATGGATGGATGGTTTGATGGATGGTTGGTTGGATGATAGTTGGTTGGAGGGATGGATGGATGGATGGATGATGGTTGGATGGTTGGTTGGATGGATGATTGATGGTTGGTTGGATGAATGGTTGGATGGATAATGGTTGGTTGGATGGATGGATGATGGATGAATGGTTGGTTGGTTGATGGATGGATGGATGGATGGATGATGGATGGATGATGGATAGATGATGGATGGTTGGTTGGTTGGATGGATGGTTGGATGAATGGTTGGATGGTTGATGGTTGGATGGATGGTTGGTTGGATGATAGTTGGCTGGATGAATGGTTGAATAGATGGATGATGGATGGTTGAATGATGGATGGTTGGATGGATGATGGTTGGTTGGATGGTTTGTTGGTTGGTTGGATGGATGGTTGATGGTTGGTTGGTTGGATGATGGATGGATGGTTGGATGGATGATAGTTGGTTGGATGAATGGTTGTATGGATGGATGGTTGGTTGGTTGGATGAATGGTTGTATGGATGGATGGTTGGTTGGATGGATGATAGTTGGATGGATGATGGTTGGTTGGATGAATGGATTGATGAATGGTTGGATAGATGGATGGTTGGTTGGTTGGATGATGGATGAATGGATTGATGAATGGTTGGATGGATGGACGATGGATGGATGGTTGGATGAATGGTTGGATGGATGGTTGGTTGTATGATGGTTGGTTGTATGGATGGATGGTTGGTTGGATGGATGATAGTTGGATGGATGATGGTTGGTTGGATGAATGGATTGATGAATGGATGGATGGATGGATGGTTGGTTGGTTGGATGATGGATGAATGGATTGATGAATGGTTGGATGGATGGATGATGGATGGATGGTTGGATGNTGGTTGGTTGGATGATGGATGAATGGATTGATGAATGGTTGGATGGATGGATGATGGATGGATGGTTGGATGAATGGTTGGATGGATGGTTGGTTGTATGATGGTTGGTTGGATGGATGGATGGTTGGTTGTATGGATTATGGATGGATGATGAGTATAATCTGATGTGGTGTAGCTCAGTGTAATCCTCATCATCAGTTGAAAAGATGGTGAAATTTCTTTGAACATGTTTTATTTATAAAAACTTGTTTAAACCTGAGGTGTCAGTTTTTACACTTTCACACATGTTTCATGCTGTTAATTAAATCCCCCCCCCCACCCCCCGCAGGTCCAATCAGACGTTAGTGGATGACATTCACCATGGCAACAGTGAGTCATTGGGGGCGGAGCCTCTGAGGGAGCTGCTGAAGCTGCTTCCAGGGAAAGACGAGGTGAAAACATGAACTTTCAGGAAAAACAAACTTTCTGTTTCTGTGTTTTTGTAACGTTTGTTTCTCCTGCAGGAGRAGAAGCTGAAGGCGTACCGAGGCAACGCCGCCGAGCTCTCATTGGCTGATTCCTTCATGCACCTGTTGATCCAGGTGCCCAGGTGAGTCAAAAACCTCTAGTTCAGGTTAACCTGTTTCTGCTCCTGGATTAACATCTGCTCCTCTGCAGTTACTTGGTTCGTATCCAGTCCATGCTGCTGAAGGAGGAGTTCCCAGGATCCTGTGAGGCCGTGAGGCGAGACTTTAACATCCTCCGCTCAGCCGTCAAAGGTAAAACTGTTTAATCTTAATCAGATTAGCTCTGTTTGTAACCTGGATTGTAATAAAATAAACCACAGGATGGTTTGTTAGGAAGCTGTCTGAACTTCCAGCTTGTTTCCAGAGGTGCAGAGTGAGAACATCATGGCTCCTCCTTCACGCCTGCAGTATTTTTAGCATCGTGTGAATCTGCTCCTGAGCTGCTAACTAACTCCGTCAGCCCCGTGCTCCTCCTCACTCCTCCTCCTTTTCTCCCCCTCATCCAGAGTTAATGTGCTGCACGGAGCTCCACGCTGTTCTCCACCTGGTGCTGCAGGCCGGAAACATCCTGAACGCTGTGAGTCGGGATAATCAGAAAAGGACGGGGATTCATGGGCRGTAAACAGAGGAGAGGATTAAACCTGTTTAATGTTGCTTAAAACAGCCTGAAACATTAATCTGGTGTGTTTTTAAACTGTGGGGTCCTAAATTAATCTGGTTGTTGCACAGATTTGATGAAAACTTTGATGAAGTCTACTTGTTTTAAGAAAATGCAAAAAAACAACAACATTTTTTAAAATTTTAAGTCAGTTTAGGAGGATAAATTAAAACTAAATTAAATTATTTTCCTTCCAACAATCTGTGTGCCAACTCTTTATGTTCCTAATCTGCAGCCCTCCTCTCAGCAGACCAGCTGATATTTTCTTCACTGCTTTCACAAAAATAAATCCACAGCGTCACTCGTTCTTTGTTAACCGTCCCACAGACCTGACAGCCACATTAACATGACAATACAGACACACTGAAACACGGACAATAACCGTCATCGTACAGAAACACCAACAAAACATGATAAAAACAAAGTGAACAATGTCAGAAAACTGTGTTTGCAATGAATGATCAGCAGCAAGAAAAATAAACTACAGCTAAAATCATGGACGTAATTTGCTGGGGGGGTTAGGGGGGTTATGACCCCTGCAATAATTTGATCCAGTCAATATACCCCCC